TTTTCATTGATTTGTTATCTCAAATTTACGTGGATTAAGTATGAACAACATAGACTATCAAAAGGAAAAACTGAACCCTTTTCTTGCTTTGCTGAGAAAACTGAGACCCCAAAGAGCTTAACCATTTTATTTAATATCAAAGCTAACTGTGGAAGTTGAGGCTGGATCTCATGTCTTCAGACATATCCAGTTGTATCATGATTCATTTTTTCATTTTAGCTTGGAGTATAACAGTATATAAACAGTCATGGACTCATTTAAATAACAAGACTCTTTCTCAGTTCATTTCGATCAGTGTACTTACCTGTCTAAAAAATATGGCTGTATATATTTTTATGGGAATGGGATCTTGGCTAAAGGTTTTTAAGATATGATTAAAGAGAAAAATACAGGAAACATGGTCTTCGAAGACAACAAAGACAAGTATAGTACACTTCCAGAAAACACTTAAGACTGCAACAATTAAAATCTTTCTAATGAAAATATATTTAAAATGAAAAGGAGCCAACCTGATTAAGAGAAACCATTTGAGGAACCAATGTTACTGAAATACATGGGAAGTGGACATTGGAAACAGAACAGTTTTAAGGAGGAAAATGTGATCCAATTAAACTTCCTAATGAACAATTTTTGGAAAACAGATTTAAGATAGGAAGGAAAAGAAATAGTAGAAAAAGTGGCATAGTTATATTGGTGAGTACAGGGTGTAGAGTGGTGGCAGTTGAAATGAAAAAAGGATTTGAAATACATTTTGGAGCTATACTGTCTTCAGGTGTGATAACTACACAAATTCCAGCCTTGCTATTAACTATCTCAACAAGGGAGAACCTAAAGTCAAGAGCGGTAATAAGAACTGGGTGAGATTTTAAAGGTTTTCTGTCCCTCCCCACCACTACATACCACTTTTCTTGAGGTAAAGAGAAAAACTTTTAGAGCAAAAAAGGATGTTTCCAAGCCAAGCAAGGTAAGGAAAACCATAGACTGACACAAGGAAATAAAGAAATGGTAGCAACTTTGAAAAAGTAGGCAATTACTGGGTCCTTTACCAAATTAGACAATACTGGGAAGTGAACTAAAACTGAAATGTGAAAATTTAGATACTAAATTGCTTTCAAACAGTGGCATGTAGTAGTGTTCTTTGTTCCTTTTTCTCTTTATTTTCATTTTATCTTTTAATTTTGAATCCTCATCCCTTTGTGCATTGTCAGACCATTAACTATGCTTAACGCTTGAGCCACATCCCCAGCCCGTTAGCTGTGTTTTCAATTGTGCATAACTTGTTTGGAAAACTGGCTGAACCAAAAGAATTAACTAAAAACCTTAACTTTGGCCATAGAAAATTAAAATCTGGTTGAGAGAAAACAAAGTTTGCTTTTCAGATTCCAGTTTTACTACTTGTTTTATTATCTAAGCACTGGTTCCTATGATTTAAACAGGGATAGTACACATATATTTTTATGATGAAATAAATACTTAGATTCTTCAGAGAAGGCTCATATGTCCCATTTCCTCAACCCTCCACAAAAAAAAACAGGCCTTTAACATTTCCATGATTTCTGTGGTTGTTTGGTAGGTTCTCTAAACTCTTATCACACTCTTTGATATCTTATGTATCCCAAGTTCCCAAACCATTTTTGTAGGCTTCTGTTCTATCAAGTTTATGTGTCTTTCTTCTTCACAATTAGTCAACTATAAAATCTTTGAAGACAGAAGAGAATTTTTTGTGCCTTAGCACTAAGTCTGCAATAGGTTCTCAGTGAGTGAAAGGATAGACATCATTATGAATATAAAGCACCATGTAAGAATAGTAATACCCTATAAAATATAGGAAATTAACTAGGAGTTCCTAGAAAAGTTGTTTTAAGTATAAACTGAAGAGGTTAGAGGGGATATATTGTGTGGCTTAGTTTGACTAGTAACAAGAAATTTAAGAGGGTGAACTGTGTTGAAGATAGCAACTAAGTAGTAGGCTCAAGTGTTTTCGGTTGGAGTATTTCCAATATCTAGTGATAATTTTTTAGGTATTGTTTTTCCCAAAAAAGAATAGAATGGGAGTTGTAAATTCATACACAACCTTGGCTTAAAATCTATTTCTCCCACTTATTGTTTCAAAACATCAATATATCCGTCAATTAAAGTACCCAGTGTAGAGTATCACTTTATATTAGCACTTCTTTTGTCTCCCAATCCTGACACTAATGCTTCAGGGAGGAGTGAAAGGAAACACATTAACTTCACAACACCTTCCAAGGCAGATTTTACTGAAACCAAGTAGAATACATTTTTATATCTGTTATCGTATTGCTCATAGCCCAGAGGGGAAACCTGCCATGTAAGTTAATGATTACAAGGTGGTTACATCTGGTAATATTTTGTGCTAGAGAGAGCTCAGAAAAGAGTCATCCAGAACTTGTTTGTTCACTGCTATAGTTGTGGGTAGGTTTCTACACTAATAATTCTTTGTAAAAATCATAAAAACACATTTAGAAAAATCTAAGTATATCACCCTATCCTTAAGTACTGACCAAATTTAAAAGTCTTTTAGTATTAAAATCTAAAACAGTGATTTAAGGCTTTGGTTTAATGCAGCTGTAAAGGATAGATGTTGTCTAGTTATTCCCAAAGCCCTAGTAATGCCAAATGGAAGAGTTCACAGTGGAACCAAAAAATTATTTTTTTCTTACCCTCAGGAATCTACTTGAACATGGATCCACATATATTGGACTTAATGCTGCTCTCTGTGGCCTAATAGCAAACAGTCTTTTTCGGCGTGTCTTGCATGTAACAAAGGCCCGAATAGCTGCTAGCTTACCAATGGCAGTGCTCCCATTTTTGACAGCAAATGCATCTTTCAAAGGTTTTGTGAGTTTACCTTTGAGTACAGGTAAATTCTATTTTACTATCACCAAAGACTTTGCCTCTGTATAATATTATTTTCAATTTAAATATCAAATAACTATATGCAGTGTTTGGGTAAGACTATCTTGATAACCTGTTATGTGGCAATGAATTCATGTTAGCATGGCCTACCAACAAAGTAAAATGCACATACACAGCAGTTCTAAATACTTTATCTGATTTATGTCCCCCCCCCCCCAGCACTCAGAGTAAGGAATGTTTGGAAACCTCATATTTTACAAAAATGCTGACTGCCTTAGATTTCTTTTTAAATTTATATTCTATAGAGAAATTCCTTAGAGAAAAAATACTTTATAGGAATAAGATTCTTTATGTAGTAAATTTCTTAAAGCACTACATGCATATATAACACAACAAATAAGTGGAAGATTTAACTTTCTTTTTAAGTTTTACCATATGTAAAATTTTGAGTCACAAAATTTTTGATAAATGATTTTAAATCCTCCAAATTTGATTGGATGAGTACTTTGAATTCCCATGGCCACTGTGGAATTTGTATGAACAAAACAAACCTGTTGCCCACTGAATAGTGAATGAAAATATTAGCCCATGTCTGATACAAAACAAGTGTAGAAATCTAGAAGCAGCCCATATCTTGAGATGATTATATCCAAGACCAGTTCCAATTGAAGAATTTTTTTCCCTAAGATTACTGTCTTTTCCCTACATGTAAATTATACCTTTTTTTGTCTCAGTATTGGGAATCAAACCCAGGGCCTTACACATATTAAGCAAGCACTCTACCACTAACTATCCCCAACCTCTAGTTATGTTGCAGAATTGCATTTGTTGTTTTTTTGCCGGAAAATAAATATTAAGTGGACTTCGTATTCTTTAAATCATGCTTTAACTATCATGACCAAAATTTTCAAAACTAATTTATTTATTTTCTAGGTGATTTGAATTGTGAAACCTGTACTGTGACACGGGGTGGACTTGTTGGTTTAGTTTTAGGAGGTCTGTACCCTGTTTTCTTGGCTATACCTATAAATGGTGGCCTAGCAGCCAGGTAGGATTCTGTTTTCTTATAATTACTGAAAGCCTTTAATATATACCTAGAAAACTCAGAACTTAAAACAGCAAATATATTTAGATTTAGAAGAAAGGCAATGTTCCCTTTTTGCTTAGATTTGCTTTTTCTTTAACCACTTTGGACTTACTAAGAATTTGAAAATACCCCACTTATGTATGATATATCATAATGTATTCTACTGTCATGTATAACTAATTAATAAATTTTTAAAAAGTCACAAAAATAGTCCATGCCTCTATGGTATAACTAAAAGAACCAATAAATTAATTCGAAAATAGTTCAATAGTTTGAGCACTTGTACTAAAGGAAAATTCTATCAGGAATGTCTACAGCCATGTTAGTCCCAAATAATTCCCATATGTCTCTGTTGAACTCTTGTATCAGCATTCTATATGAGCCTTCAGAGATTAACCAGGAGAAAGAGGCAAAAAAGAAAACAAAGCAGTTTTTAGTACTAATAGCCACTAACGAGAATAGCATTTCCTAATCTTTTTATCTATTTTATCTTAAGACTTTTAGGATTATTATGTATTGTACATAGGTTTGCCACTTGATACAAAACTATTCTAGTGATTTCTTAATGTTTTCTTACAGGTATCAATCAGCCCTGCTACCAGAGAAAGGAAACACCTTAACTTACTGGATTAAAATTTCTAAGCCTATCTTCAGAAAGATGTTATTTCCCATTTTACTTCAGACTATGTTTGCAGCATACCTTGGGTCTAGACAATATAAAGTACTTATAAAGGCCCTTCAGTTACCTGAACCAGGCCTAGAAATTCACTGATTTAGAGCAAATGTGTATACAAAATAAAATTGTAAAGATAACCTGTGTCTCTCTTAATGTTAAAAATAAATGTAGACCTGTAATTTATCTTAAGAGGTATAATTCTGGGACCTACAACAAAAGGTTACACAAGGGCAACAAAGGCTGGACTTAAGACACCCACTTAATACATTCAGCACTGAATTTGGACACAAGAAAATATATAGAAATTTTCAACGAAGACTTCACAAAGTCAAACAGGAAAATGAAAACAAAAATCTATATAGCAAATGTTACTTTTACTTTTTTCCTCAGAGTGTTTCCATAGGTATCATTAATTCCTAAAATTTTAGAACTTACAAATTTCCTCACAGGATATCAATGCTAATCTATATTCTCAGAAGGCTATATTTTTATAAAATATAGACAAAGTCTATCTTTTAAAGCTTCTATCTAATGTGGGATAGTTCTTTATCATCAGAGACTTAAACCACTCTTTTTAGTATATATGTACTAATAAGCAAGTTAACTAACTTCTAATCCTCGGTATCCTTATCAGTTACCTCACTGAAGGCTGGTATTACATAAGTAAATTACCTAATAGCACATGACACACCAGGGACTCAAATGGTAACTATATATTCTTCCTATTGCTTTATTTTGCTTTCTGAAATATCTTCATAAATTCATTCATGAAGAGAACGTTTAAATTATTTAAAGTAATGTACTGTATTCTTCCAAATATTTCTCATCCTAGTTCTTTAAGCCATTTTCTTATATGACAGAACCTTGAATCAGCATTGTCCAACCTGATGTTAGATAATACTCATCTTCTGTTAGCCACTAGCATCTGAAGTATGGATCCACGGCTACAGAATTGGACAGTGCACATCTAGACCAGCATTTTCTTATGAAGCAAGTCAGTCACCACAGAAGAGTACCAAGTCAAATCTTACCCATCCAATATCATATTCCTGATCCTATCTCAACTACTACTTACTTCCAAATAGTGACTTAAATATTAAGCATTGTATGCTTAGCCTATTTAAAGAAAACAGCTGCCAAAATTTAAAATTCAAGTGACTTAACAAAATATACTTTCAACTTTTCAAAAAGCAAAGATGATTTGTTCTTTCAATAGGCACATAAAATGTATTTTTGATATAAGAAATGATACCAATTGGAGCAAAAAAAAAAAAAACACAAAACTTGCACAAGGGAAATGTGGCACAATGTTTGCTGTGACTATCCTCTGGGTTACAGAATGATTTTATTTGCTTTCTTTCTGGATTTCTCAAGTTTCCTATTATAAATATGCTTTACTTTTATAACTAAGGAGAAAAGGCAGACACAGTGGCACACGCCTGTAATCCCAGCAACTTGGGAGACTGAGGCAGGAAGATTGCATGTTCACTACAAGCTTCAGCAACTTAGCAAGGCTCCGTCTCAAAATTTAAAATCAACAAAAAAGGGGCTGGTGAGGTGGCTCAGTGGTAAAACATCAAAGTTCAATCCCTAGTACTAGTACAAAAAAAAAAAATTGGATGTAAAAATTCAAAAGGCAAAAGAAATTACCTGTTTCTTTCACAAGCTAAAATATCAAAAGGAAAGGTTTGGGGCTGGGGAATGTAGCTTAGTTGGTAAAGTGCTTGCCTAGCATGTGCAAGGCCCTGGGTTCAATCCCAATGCGCACACACAAAAAAGGACAGGGGGTAAACGTTCTTTGATTCAAGTTCTCCATTTTATCTGCATTCTATCACTTTTAAAGCAGAGTCTACATCGCAGTGAAAATAACTAAAATTCCTTACTTCAAAAATAAGAAATACAAATTAGTCAAGACTCCTTTATCAACTAGATAACCTTACTATTTTTTTTAAACTGTTCCAGAATATTTACCCCCTGGTAAACCATCTGTAAATGAGTACAATCTTTAATAATGGTTTCTGTAGTCAAAAAGGATTTCTAACATCTGTCCTCTACTACATATTTCTCAAATCATCTTTCCAGTTAGAAGAAATGTGCAACATAGGCAATAAAAGCAATATTTTGTCTGTTGCTACAGATCTGCCAGAATTTTTGTTCAGAGGGCAGATATATGACATGTGAACCTGCTGTGAGCTGCCATCTTTAAAGAACACTGCTTCCCTCAGGAAAGCAGTTCTTCATAATCTCAGTCTAGTCAGGGTAGACAGACTATTTAAAATCTTTTACAATTCACTTTGTGTAGTTAAACGGCTTTAAAGGGTCATACTAAACATTTTGTAAACACTGAAGAGTCAAGAGTGGTTTAAGAAATCGATCTTGTGGGAATACATGAAAGAGAATTTGGAAGCACATTCTAAGGAAAGCTGGGCTATCAATAAAATTCAAATTGTTATAATAGCAGAATTATACAATGCCCAAATAATTAGTGACTAGACTTTTAAATGTTGTGAAAATTGAGCAAAATTAATAATTGGGTCAACAAAAAATTAGTACTTTATAAACAAGAAGTGGCTGAATATTCAGAGTACACATAAAAGTATTTGGCTTCAAATATGAAAAATACTATGCTGACCAAACAGCATTCTCAAGTTTCTAATGGAAGACCTTCCCCTCTGAACCCCTGGCTTAGAAGGTAACTAAATGAAAAAAAGCTCAGGAAAAAAATATAAACATTTAGAAGGGTCTCAAAACTGTACTGATAGCAAATGGAGAGGGGGGAATAAATACTTCTAAGTATCTTAATACCTATTAAACTTTGAAGAGTCATCAGATTAATTTGGTGAGATCCTTAATTTATACCATCAAAATGCTGAACTATATATATTAAAAAAATAATCACTCATTATTGATGAATTATCCAATTTGTGTTCTATCAGAAGTAACAGGAATTAATGCTCACCAAAAATTACTGGCACCTAAACCTTTACTTGTAGAATCACCTGTCCTTTAGGAGCATTAGCCACTTAAGTATAAGTCAGTGGGAATGATTTTTACTGCTTGGCTTTACAGGAAACTAAATACATTTAGATTATAAGAAACTAGGTAGACCGAATACATTTTGAATAATAACACACAAAGGCCAATTTCAAAGCTATTGTGAAATACAGCCTAACTCCTACCCTTTCCCTCTTCTATCATCTACACAATTCCCAAGCGAGTCATTAAAATGACAGTCCAAACCAGGTGAGAAAATGTATTAACCCAACAAAAATGAGATAAAACAATCAAGAGTTTTTGAGTTTTTTTCATACTTACAACCAGAAAAATATTGTAAAACAACCAAATGCCACGAAAAAGCCACTCCCATTATCCAGAATACTAAAGCCCTTATATAACACTATAGATTTTAATATAAAACAGTAGAAACTCACGAGAAACCTCAATATTAAAAAAAAACAAAAACAGTATCAAGTACTCAGAAAAAGCTCAAGAATCCACGATCTCAAGAATCCACACATCCTAGTGTTACCCTACATTGCAAATAACTACCCATACATTTTGTCATAATTTTTTCAAAATTTACAGGCAAATCAATGCATCTATTTAAACAAAACTACTTTTTATAGTTAAGAACTTTACATTAACTTTTATATTCTACTCTGCAAGATGTCTATCTGTCCTCCAAATTAGCTCTTATGTTCCAGGAAATAAATACAAACTCTTTATATGCTTTGTAATCACTGATGGCCTGTTTATGTAATTCTAGTCCACTATATGTAATTCCATAGAATGTGCTCTTGATTATTAAAGAATCTAATATATTTCTTGATCAAATACTATAATTCTCTTCTCCAATGGTTACAATGTTTAAAAAGTATGCAAAGAACTGAGTATCACTCCCATGAAAGAAAAGTATAATTTTGTTCCAAAATTTACTTAGTCTCATGTATTTCTATTAAGTCTTTCAAGCATTCCAGAGAATCTTTTCATATCTCCATTTCTGGAAAGTGAAATCAGTATAGAAGTAATTTGGGAACTTGAAAATGGCATTCATGTTTTTCAGCAGATGCCAAATTTTTGACCGACATGGCTCCCACAATTACTTTGTTACCATCAGTCCAGTCAGTTAACAGGTTGTAGGAAAAGATTCGTTTTTGCAGATACTGCTATGCTGTTTAAAGAGAAGAGAGAGAGATTAATTTAGTGATTATAAAATGCACAAATATTTAAAATATTTTGAACACTTCTTTGGATATATCAGAGGTGTGATTACATTTTAGTTAAGTCTGGTCAAGGAAGTGCAGAAAACAGTAAGTCAATATGATAGAAATAGGTCAATATGATGTGTTAGTTCAATTAATGTATGAATTTCTGCCACCGTATTCAAAAGTTAAATCTTTAGTCTAGTCTGTTATCATTTTACCATAGAGGCACAATTAAGGGAAAAAAGGACAAAAGTTCCCCAAATACTAAATTGTTTCTAACCATTAAAGTAAACATAACCAAACCTGAAAATGTCAAACAATCATTTTATATTCCAGAAATCTCCTTTATCCAAATACTAATCATTCAGAACACAATTTTCTAAAAATAGTAAGACAACAGTTTCATATTAATCATAACTTTTTTAATTAACAAGTAGTGAATAGGACACTTTAAGATACTGTTTACTACATACTGAAATAAACATCTGTTGTAAATTCAGAAACCCAAACATTTACAGTAAAATGTGCTTACACATAAATATGACCAAATTTATTTAAAGCCCTGTTAGATAGGTCCTAAATACATGCAATTACCATGTAAAAACAAGACCATGAGTTGATGTAAAAAAATGACAAAAATCACTAAGTCACCAAAACTAGAAAAGAAATAATGAAATGGAAACTGAGAAAAGACAGTTAATAAAACACAAGAAACCTAACAAAGCAGCTTTAAAAATAATACTAATCTTTCCATTTTCAAAAGTTCTTAATCAAGTAATTCTCCAAATTGCCATTTATAAAATGACATTCTAAAAATCTATACTTGGAATTTCAAAACATCCCAATTCAGAAAGCTTTGATTACTGTTTCTCCCCAGCCCCCAACTTCAAATAATGCAGTAAAAGCACGGATGTTAGGAAGAAAATATTCCAAGGGAATGGTATAATTTTTAGAAAAACGAACTTACTGCTTCCAGAACCTTTTGATTAAGACCCAGAGTCGGCATTAACAACAATCATTTTTTTCCTATTTTCACTCATTATTTTCCAAGGTCATGTTAGAGATGAATAAATTCTTTGAGCCCATGACTGAAAGATCAACAAACCCGGTTTTATTATGACACCGTATTTTTGTCATTGGTACTGCACAAAATTATATACAAAGAAATATATACAAAAATGTTCAAGTATTAGTTAAATTTCAATTCAAGGCTTCTCTTTCAAAAAGCTACATTTAACATATTTCATAAAGATAGCACAAATTAGTCATTTCAAATAATCTTTTCCAATTACTTTTGGTTTATGTGTGTGTGTGTATGTGTGTGTACATATATATATATATACTTATATATATATATATATATAAAAATTCAGTAGGCACTAAAAATCCATGCAGCTGCATTGTGAGGGGCTTGTTCCTGCCCTTATATAAGCAGGTTCATTATTCCAGGTTGTGAGTTTGGCTACTACCCATTCATGCTGAAGTGCAGTAGATGATTTTACAAAATATGCTGTGATGCACTGGAAACCGAGACCAATATAGGTCTCAAACTGTATTATCTAGCAAAAAACATTTACAGTTGTGCAAGAACAAAGAGTCCATTTCCATAACCAAATAACAACAAAATAAAACATGTGTAAGATAACTTACATCTTTGGACTGCTGGAAAATATTTTTTAATTATGAACATTTCAAAAATAAAAGACAGCAGAAGCCCTGATGTTACCTCTTTTTCCTCATTTCTTATACTACCTTTTAAAATAAAGCAGGAAATGTGGCCAGCAGCTGGTCCCGTCTCTTCTGCCCCAACAGCTGTATCCACTTTAGCACAAAGAAAAACAAGGATGCTAAATACGTATATATTTTATCAAACAGTGATGTTTCACAAAGAATTTATTGCCTCTTACACTGAAGGACATCAATAGTTAAGAGTACTTAAAGGGAAGAATATGTTCCTTCTTTGAAAAATAGCATCAATCATATCATTAAGTGGCCAGAACCACTCAATTTTAAAAAGTATTTTTAAATACAGTTAATACTTTTCAAATAGAGAGATTCTTTGTGAAGCCTCACTTTACACTTTTTCATTCACATTTCACAATCTTCAATATCTAATCATACATACAAAAATTTAACCTAAATTTTAATACAACAAAAATAAAGGCGTTCAACAATTTGTTCATACACAGTGATAGGATAATCACTGTGCTGGTCCTCAAAAAAAAAAAAACCAAAACATTTCATTAACCATTCTTATTCTTCATCCAATTAGTTAAAACACAGAAGTACGTTAATTTCCAACTTCTCTAATGGTGAGAGATTAGAATCTGTATCTGAATAGATTGTATTTCTATATCTTCTAGTGAAAACTAAAAGGCAATCTTGAATATTTAAGAGATTTCTGTCATCTCCAGCAAAAAAAAGCTATCACATTTGTGCATGCCTCAAATATTTATTGTCAACCTCTGAAAAGTTGCTCTAAATTTGGAATTCCAATTTGCACCTTGTACAACTCGGAACTTCCATTCAACTTCACCTGTTTCACTGTCTCCAAACTGTATCTCTATAAGCAGGTTTCAGTGTACAGTTGGAACCGATGTCATCCAAGGCCATGTCCACACTGGGGACAGAAGAGCTAGGTACACGCAAGTCTGAACAAGGGGACACATTAACAGCTATTTCAACCAGAAGAAGCATCTTAAATACATTGACCAGCACAAGTCTGTTTCCAGGGTGGACAGGGCCCAAATTAGATTCCCCTCCCACCTTCCAAACAAGAAAAAAAAAAAAAAAAAACCACACACACACACAAATTGAGATGTTGCCCATTAAAGTAGACTAAGCAGCAGAGCATGAGCGTTACGTGAAGAGATGGATCCTTACCAGGTTGTGAGGCGGGAACGACTGTTCTGTAACCCCTACAACGGAGCCTGGCAGGAAGGAAATCACCTAAAAAAGAAACTGTCAGAGAGATTTAATAGTCACAGGTTATCATTAGGAGTTGGTTACAGTGTCACATTCATGCTTTTAGCTAAACACTTAAAGGATTCATTATTACTTTTTTTTCCTCCTCTGTAATGTGTCCAGTGAAGATGTCCCACTAAGGTGTTTTACATGGTGTAAGGGAGTTGAAAGGGGTAAACGCGGATAAAGAGCAGATTACTTGACCCTACATTTTAAGAGAAGACGACGCCTTCCGAGCGCACGCCGAGCAGAACTCCACCGACACCTTATCCTTGTCCACATGAAGACACACTCCTCCCGCGGAGTCGTCCTCTTCCAGCAGGTCTTGCTGCTGCTTTCCCACCGGCAAAGCGTAGTCATGGTCACCGGCGGGCGAGTCTCTGAAGAGCGAGGTGGTCAGCCGCAGTCCCACGCCGCTCAGCCGGCTCAGCAAGCGAGCCAGTCCAGTCTCGTTGGCTAAGACTGCCCGTAGGTAGCGACTCTCCTCTTGCAGTGCTTGGACGCGTTTGCCCAGCTCCCGATTCTCGGCCCGCAGCTCCTGGTTCTCTGCTGCCAGACCCCGGACTCGACTCTCCAGGCCCATCACATATTCTTTCTTCTTCAGCCGATTAAGACGGGCAGCGGCCGCCGCCGCCTTCCGGGGACTCTTGGTCGCCGCCTGGTTGTTGTCGTTGCCGCTGCCGCCACTGCCTCCTCCTCCAGGAGACTTTCTCCGCCTCTTCTCCCCGCTGCCACTGTCACTGCCGCTGCTACAGCCTCCGATACCGTTTAACAGCCTCTGGAGCAGATCAGAAAAGCGCTGCATCTCAGCGGCCGCAGCCTCGTCGTCATCGTCCCCCCTCCACAGGCCGCCACTATCGGAGCCTCCGCCAGATGAGGAGAGAGGCCCAGGCGAGCTAAGCCCGGGTTCCAGGTGCCAGTCCGGCTGCCTGGGGTCCAGCAGATCCGCCAGTTCCAGCCCAGACAGAAAGTCCATGTCCTCCGTTTCTTCCCCAGGGACGCTGGCAACAGCCTCTTCCTCCATCTCCTCGGGCGAGGGCGCGCGCACGGCCACGCCGTCGCGGCTCCCCCTCCCGGCCTCCAACTCGCCCTCGTCGCGGTGCGGTTGCTTGCGGCCGGGCGATCCGGCCGCCGCCGTCTCCTCCTCGCTTGCTGCCGCCCGGGTCAGGTCCAGGGGCAGAGAACAGGTCGCGGCCGGCGCCGGGCTCTCACTGCGGGACGGGGAATCGCTGCCCGAGGCTGCCAACAGCTTGGTCAGGCTATGCCTCATGGGGCCCCGCGGCGGGCCAGCGTAGGCCCAGGCCCCTCAGACCGGGCCTCGCGGGCCCCAAGGACCCCAGGCCCCAGCGCGGGTAGACAGGTCGCTGGCCAAGACAAAATGATAGGAAAGGTCCACGTCGCCTCCCGCCGCGCTCGGCTGATCGACCCCCCGCACCGGGGCGGGGGGCTGGGATGGAAGAAACAAGCGGTGAGGCCCAGCGATGACTCGACCGCGCCACCCAGACAACAGCCAGGCCGGAAGTTAGTCTTTCTCTCCACCCCTCCTACCGCATTTCGCGCTCCTACAGGCTGTAGTATCGCGAGAGTTTGTGGAGCTTTGGGGTGGCAGTAATTCTAGCTTTCTGATGATGTCATAATAACAGCGGTAAAAGCGATAAACCCCAGATCTGTCCCTCCGAATTCAATAGTACTTCCCAATAGCCAGACACAACAATTTAACGTTTAACGTATTGTCATATTTGATTTATTTACATATAAATAATGTTTATAAGCAATAAATGCATACATTTACACACACATATACTTTTCCTCTCTATCGCCCCTAAATTACAAAGAAGACACCACACCCCAAATACGTCAGTATGCGTCTTTAAAAATAAGAACATTCTCCTTCATAAACATGTTATTTAATCAAATTCTGAGAAAATTAACAATCATTTACTAATAGTATCTCTTCCATGGGCCTTATTCAGATATCCTCAGTGGTTCTTAGAATTTCTAATTTTGTATAGTAGATATTTTCTTTTGAGCCAGGATCTAATCAGGAGTCATTTACTGCATTTAGTTAGAGGTTTGTTTTGTTTCATATCTCAAACTTGAACAAGTCTCCCTATTTATTTAGCTTTTCTAAACATTAGCTATTTGAAAAGGACATGTTAGTAGTGTTAGACCAGTCCGCAAGAAAGACCACTGACTCCAATTAAAATCAAATTAAAGCAAGCTTATTATTTCCACCAGCCGGATGCTTCTCCCAACAAAAACCACGGGAACAAGATAGCAGCCCAGCTTTATAGCCCAGAAAGTTACACAAAGTGGGGGTTACAGATAACAAAACTCTAAGGAGCATAACACAAAGGCTAGTTTATATTTTTGCTGGTCCCACCATCAGAATTTATGAAGGTCATTAGAGCCTCAGAGAGGGTCTTATCTGGCCAGGGAAGGCCAAGATTTTCACTAAAGTTTCAGAGAGGGCTGCTATCTGGTCAGAGACAGCCAGGCATGGGTAAGTTCAAGGCAAGGGCAGGCATTCCAAGCAAGTTCAGAATTTGCAGTAATTTATAGTAAAGCTGAAATTAGCTTTTCATGTCTTTGTGGTGAGATGGCTCCCAATTTTAAGAGGAATCAGGCTGGGTCTATCAAGTAGTTTTGAATAATACACCATATTCTAGATTATCCCCCATGATGGTATTTATCTTTTTTCTCTAGCTTCATAAAAGATTTAAGATTCAAAGCAGTTTATAAATGCATTAGAATATAGGTGAAACAAAGCAATTCATGTGTTTTAAAAAGCCAATAAAATATAGATGAAGTAGTAAGAAAAGGATTTAGAAAAAAAGGAAAAATTAGTATTAGAATAGAATGGACACAGACCTCACATAATTACTCTATTTGGGCTCAAAATAAATTGAGCTTCCTGGCAGTCCAAGTAAAAAAGAGAAAGAAACATTCCTTGGTTCACATGTGAAACACATATAAAACTTGTAACCTCTTTTCTAGTTCTTAGGTCTTGAAGGATAAGGTAGCAGCTTTATAAAAGTAGCATCTGCTTTATAAAAACAAGTTGCGGGAAAGCTGTATACTGATAGATTCCAAATATCCAGAAATGTGCCTGGCACAGCATAAACTTCAACAAATATTTGTTGAATGAATGAAAGAGGAAGGGCTACAGTTTTGGCTGAAGGACTAACACTAAAGCTCTTCTGAATACAAACAATGATGCCATGGGCAAAAATAAATACGACCTATGTTATCTGGAAGTATAAATAAAAGACTGCCTTGTCCTTCTTAACCTTCCCATTAGGAAAGGATTTGTTAAAGTAGAATAGCACACAGTTCAAGGTGACATGTACTCTGGCCTGACTTCAATACATGTGATTTGTGTGGCTGATAATTTCATCCAGCTGTGTTTCCTCCTAAGGTAAAAACCCAACATCATGGATTATTATGTTTTTCCTATTATAAAATTTGATGTTTGAATAATGACACCTCCAGTTTAATATAAAAGCAGAAAATTGAAAAAGAAGGAAGTTTTTTTTTTTAAATGTAGCTTTAGAAGAGGAAAATGTACCTGAAGCAACAGTAAACCTCCCAGAAAATGGTCCTTTCTTCTTTTTCTCCTACTCACTTTCTCCTTCACAGATGTTTTGTTTATCTTTTTCTGGTTAAAATGACCATGGCAAAAGATTTGGATAATCCAGAAATGAATAAATAATTAGAAATTTGCTACTCACAATCTACCCCAAAATAACCATTCTTAAAATTTTAGTATCCACTCAGTTTTTCCATGTACAGATGCACCTTGTTTTATTTCTTTGAACTCTACTATTTTGGTATGAACATATTGTAGACATCTTCCATACAAATAAATATAGATCTAGGTGTGTATTTTAATTGTCTATCTAGAATTCCATTTTATGGAGTTTTCAAATTTCATTCAATTATTCATATCATATAGGTTGTATTAAATTTTTAACCATTATAACCATACTAAAATTTTGTGCAAGCATATTAGTTTACTTTTCCTATAACTCTCCTGGATAAAGTCTTAGAAGCAGAATTTCTGGGCATAATTTTTATACATGGATCCTTATTACCTTCCAAAAAGGTATCTTTCACCAATGATGTGGGAAAGTATTTAGTTCCCTATCCACTCAATGACAGTGGATTTATTCTTTTTTTAATGTTTGTCAATTTCCCTAAACATAGAAATGGTATAGTTTTGTGTGAATTTGTGTTTCTTTTATTATGGAAAAATTGTATGTTTTTCACATGCTCAGTAGCCTTCTAAAATGCCATTGCATGTCAGCTCTTTCCCACTTTTTCTTTTTTAAGGGAGGAAAATGTTTTTCAAAGAACATATTTTGGCTTTTCCTTTTTGACTTACATGAACTCTTTTTATTAAAAGGAAACCATCCCATTGTCTCTTATATGTTGCAAAATTTTTGCCCAGTTTACTATTGACTGGAGGTGGCATAATAAATTGCTTGCTTTTACAGTAGGCTGTATTTTTTATAAAGATGATTTTTTAAAATTTTTGTAGTTGTAGATGAACAGAATGCCTTTATTTTGTTAATTTTTAAGTGGTGCTGAGGATCAAACCCAGTGCCTTACACATGCTAGGCAAGCACTTTGCCACTGAGCTACAGCCCCAGCCCAATAGGCTATATTTTTAAATAGTCACTATCAAAATTTTCTTCATGGCTTCATAAAGGCTTTATTATCCTAAATAATACTAATACTTATCCATATTTTAGCACTTCTTCAATTATTTATATTATATTTTTAGCAGAAGTTTTATCATGGTAGTTATTTTATTAATATCTAAATGAAACGTATCAGTTATAAAATATGAGATAAAAATATAGCTTTTCAAAAAGTTATCTGCCACAGAAAATTTATAATTCCTACTTGCTTCATCAATTTCCCAATGTATATTTCACATACAGAATTCTTACATATAGTTGGATCTATTTATGGTCTTTTTAATTTCATTGATCAGTCCAACAATTCTGGAATTGAAATTGTTCCAATAGTTTTATATTTTAATGCTTCCAGCAAGACTCTGTATTACTTTTACTTTCTCAGAGTTTTTTTTTTTAACTGTACTTGAATATTTAATCCTCCACATTATTTTGGAAGATGTTTCAAGTTCAAAAAATAAAGCTGGAATTTTCATGGAAATTGCATTACATTTAGTCATTTCTTTTTCCATTTGTGTTATGCAAATTTGGCTACTGGATAGATTATTTTTCTTCCTTGCCATTTTCTAAATGGTTGTTGTTGCTACGTAGGAAAGGTATTTATCTTTTTCATCAGATTTTTAACTGACTCCCTCACTAAACTCTCTTAATAGTTTTTACTTTCAACTTATTTATTCAAAAATTTCCGGAAGACAATAATATGACCTTATTATATATAATTTATATTTTTAATACTATTTTACTCTCTTGACCAAACATAAAATAATACTTCCAGATTGATGTTAAATAATAATGTAGATAACCAATATCCTGCCTTGTTCCTGATTTTAGCAGGAATACCTCATGTGACTAACTGTTAATTTGAGATGGATATTTTTTATCAGACTAAGAAACAGTCTTCTATTTGTATTTTACATGGAGCCTTTAAAAAAAAACAACCTTCTGTGATTGTTTAAATAGTTATTACAAGATTTCACTGTTTCAGCCCGTATAGACAGTGGTACTGGGGCTGGGGATATGGCTCCAGTAGTAGTGTGCTCGCCTGGCCTGTGTGAGGCATAAAAATAAAATAAAAATATTGTGTCCACCTAAAGCTAAAAAATAAAAATATATATATTTTAAAAAAGAGATGCTGAGAATATTAAAAAAAAAAAACAGGTGGTACCTTCTGGGCACTTTGGCTTAAATTGGGCTTTTTGTATAACAGAAGTGAGTTTGATGAGTTTTCCTGAAACCACAAACATTTTTCTTTTATCACATTTGAATATTTCCCTTTCTTTGTTTATGTTTTTATTAGTGTATTATAGTTATTGTTTTTTTGTCAGCTTTTTCAGTCCTTTGACCAAAAGACCTGACAAGGACAATTTTAGAAAAGAAAAAGTTTACTTGGCGCTCAGTCTCAGAAGTCTCAGTCCATAGATGGCTGACTCCATTGCTCTGAGTGTGGGGAGAGGCAGGACATCAAGGTGAAAGAGTGTGGTAGAGGACATGGCATCAGGAAGCAGAGAGAATTTTCTCACCAAGGACAAAATTACACCCCAAAGTCAGGCCCCAGTGATTCATCTCCTCAAGCCAAACTTCACCTGCCTATAGTTACCACCCAGTTAATTCCTATCAGAGGAGTAATGCATTGATGAAGTCAAAACTATCATAACCCAATCATTTTACCTCTAAACTTTCTTGCTTGGTAGCAATAACAGCCAAAAGAGGGGGAAAGGTCCTTGCCTCGTTTGCACCTTCCAAATATAGCTGCAGAGGAGGCTGGCAAATATAATTTTTGCAATGGTGGGGATCAAACCCAGGGCCTCTCGAATGCTGGGAAATTGTTCTACCA